GGGGTTACAATTACATGGGCAAGATAACGCCCCTCAGTAGATGAATGGATCAAGAAAATGGGGGCTCTCCCTTAGCTTTTTCACTCAAGGCCAGTGCTCAATCACTTGAACCACAGCTCCACTTCTGGCTTTTTGCTGGTTAGGTAAGATTCTCATAAACTTTCTTGCCCAGGCTGGCTTCCAACCATGATCCTCAGATCTCAGCCTCCTGGATAGCTAGAATTACAGGTGTGTGCCACCAGCACCTGAACTAGAACAAGGTAATATAGTCTAGGTGAAGAAACCATCTGAGAGAAGAATGGATCCAAGCATTCATGCTTTGGGGTTGAGAAGCTGGAGAGCTGATCACTATGGAAAGACAATGGCTTATGTAAACATAGAAGAAAAGGAGACGCAAGCTTTGGGAAAAATGGGAGGAAAATGCCTTTTTTGTGGTCAAAGCATAAGGAAGAGGAGAGAGCTGGTGGTGATGGGGAGTGGAGTGGAGAGCATAGAACTGGAATCTATCCCTGGAGCTAGACAGTAGAGGCTTCCTGAAGAGTTAAAACAATACTTTATTCCTATTATTATTATTATTATTATTTGGCAGGATTGAGGTTTAAACATAGAGTCTTGCCAGGCAAATGCTCTACCACTGAAGCCACATCCCCAGCTCTTTCTGGAGTTGTTTTTGCTGGGGCTGGCTTCTGCCAAGGCCCTGATACCCTTGCCTCCATCCTAGCTGGTATTCCAGGCATGCTTCATCACACCCAGCTTTCATATAGGGTCTCACTAGTTTGGATTTTTTTTTCTTTTTTCTTTTTACTTTATGGCCAGGGATGGCCTCAAATCACAATCCTCCTAGCTTTACCTTTTGAGTAACTAGGATTACACGTATGATCCACAGCCCCTGGTCTTCCATTTGAATTTTACATGGATACTAGATTAAATAGGAGTCAGCTTCAGAGGCAAGATAAAAGAAAGACCTGGGCCAATAGACAGGCAGTAGAAGCCAGGCACTGGTGGCTCACGCTTGTAATCCTAGCTACTCAGAAGGCTGATGTCTGAGGATCACAGTTCAAAGCCAACCTGGGCAGGAAAGTCCATGAGACTCTTATCTCCAATAAACTGCTCATAAAGCTGGAAGTGGTGCTGTGGCTCAAGTGGTAGAGTTCTAGCCTTGAGGGGAAAAAAGGCAGAAGGAAAGTGGAAGACCTGAAGAGAATTAGAAGGTAGAACATACAGGATCCCTCACATAAGTAAAAAGTATTGAGAAAGAGGACATATTGTACTATTCTAAACCACAATAATTTAAATCTCAAGGCAGAGGAAATTGTAAAGTGCATTCAAAAGCAGAATATTTAAAAATCCTCCCTAAGTCCAGGGGCTTATAAACACATGGAGTCCATTAGATTCCATTGTTCTTTCTGTGGATCACCATGTAATAGGACTGGCCCCTGGCCTAGGAATCCATTCCAGGTGATTCCTATGATCTGAATAATTGGAGGACTGTTGCACATTGAGGACAAACTGACATTGTCTTACATACTGTCTATATGTGTCTCCCTATGGCAAAATTCTAGAAAATACAAATCAACTAGTACTGACAGAAAGCAAGCAAGTCAGCGTGCCTGGCATAGTTATGTACATTTGTAATCACAGCACTTAGGAAGGTGATCTAGGGCTCTATACCAAATCTCTGTCACACACACACACACACACACAGAGAGAGAGAGAGAGAGAGAGAGTAGATCAGAGGCTCCTGGGGAATAGGACTGGCAGGGAGAGATGAAAGAAAGATAATCTAGAGCTGGTTTTACAGGTGTGTGCACTTGTCAAAGGTAATGTGCCCAGTGTATTGTATGTCACTTATACCTTGGTTATATGCATTTTATGGACTGTTGCTTATACCTCTCCTAAGAGAAAAGTTTAGACCAAAGACTCCTGTAAACTCTTTTATGTGTGCTGCAGTCTTTTCTGAGTCTCTTAGATGCTACAACCCCACCTGCCTGGATAATTTGCCTGAGATGATATTTACTACTTGCTGTCCAGCAGGAGGATTGATTAGCTCTCTGGTTGGGGTCAGGACAGAAGGAAACCTCTGAGTCAGTCTCTTAGAGAATTTATGACCCAAGCCTGGGGTCATAACCTTGCAGGTATTGTTACTGAGCTGTCTAGATCTACACACTCTGATCCTGGAGAGGCCCCAAAGGCCTTGTTGGTATTTGTAGTCAAGCCATAAACCGTGGCAAGCAAGGCTTTCAGTTTTAGTGAAAGAGCCTTAGTTTCAGCTGTTATACTAATTATCAAAGTCTGGCACTCACTGAAGACCATGATGGCTGAAGTCTGTAGATGGTGACTCTGGAAGATGTCTTTTAGTTAATGGTTGAAATGTTAGCTAATCACTATGGAAGCAGCAAGGCTTGGCAATCTGAACAAACAACTGCTCCAGGAAGGGATAAAAACAAACTCGCTCAACTATACCATCCATGCCATTGGTCTTGAAGTAAATTGGGTATCAACAGAGCCACTAAAAATATGTCTCTCCTTTCTCCATTCTTTATACAAATATCTGTGCAAGGGCTGGGAAGGTGGCTCAGTGGTAGAGCGCTTGCCTTGCATGCATGAGGCCCTAGCCTTGAGCTGAGGGACAGCACCCAGGCCCAGAGTTCAGGCCCCACGACCGGACCCCCCCCCAAAAAAATATATCTGTGCAAGTCCACAGGATGATACCATCACACTTACCACCATCTTTCACAATGAAATAAGGCCAAAACACATTTGAAGGACAGGGGACATGACTGAAACGGTAAGAACATCTACTTAACAAACTCAAGGATCTGAATTCAAACCCTGGTACCATTTTTTTAAAGTATTTTTTGGAACAGTAATAAAAAAAAAAAACAAAAGAAATAGAATTCTCTCCAAAGATCCATTTAAACTAAAGGTAATCAGGAAAATTAACACACTTGTCTGTGTAGATTCATGGGAACCTAAAATGACACCATTTCTATGTAACGGTATGGTGGTTCCTTAAAAAAATTAAATTACCCTACAACACAGCAACTCCATTTCTGGGCATATACCATAAACAAATAAAACCGAGATGCACAAAGATGTTAGTACCCTCATGCTTCTAATAGCATGGATGATGATAGCTAAAAGGTGGAAGCTACCCATGTCCAGTGACAGATGATGGGTAAACACAGGTGGAATGCATACTATGAAATATTACTCATCCTTGAAAAAATAAGGAAATTTTGAGACGTGTTACACTGTAGTTGAACCCTTGAGGACATTTTGCTCAACGACTAAGCCACAACTACTGTGATTCCATTTGTACAAAGTACCTATAATAGTTAAATCACAGAGATAAAGTAGAACAGTGGTTGTTGGGAGATAGAGAGGACTGGGACGTTGCTATTTATTCGAGTCAGAGTTTCAGTCTGAGAGGATTCAAAAGTTCTGGGGATGGATGTGGACGAAGCTTGCACAACATGGATATACACTTAATGCCACTTAACTGTACCGTTACACATGGTTATACCAACATAGGTTATAATATGTATTTTAGCACATTAAAAAAAACTTAAAACATTTTAAAAAAGAAAATAATTCCCATCTCTGGAATTTTACACTTTAGAATATGAAAAATTATGACACACCAATCGATTCTTACAAACGGCTTTAATTCTTACAAATTATATAGATAATACATTTCTGTTATAAGACATAAGGCAAATAGAGTCAGGCGTGGTGGAGCATTTACTGAAATCTCTGTGAGGCAGAGATTGAGAGGATAGAAGAAGTTCTGGGTCAACCCTGACAAAAAACAGGAGTGTCTCAACCAACCAGCCAGGCGCAATGCCACCTGGGTACAGTTTCATCCAATTATAGAGCAAACATTCAAGGGCATAGTTGAAAAATCAATATATAGTGTATATCATATTGCTAGTCCTGGGCCTGAACTCTGGATCTGGACTCTTGTGCTCAAGGCCCGTGCTTTCTCACTTGGGCCACAGTTCCACTTCCAGCGTTTCAGTGATTAATTGTTGATTAGAATCTCTTGGTCTTTCCTGTCAGGACTATCTTGGAGCTCCTGAATAGCTAGGTTTTATAGACGTGAGCCTTGGGCGCCGGGCGTGTAAATTTTAAAGGAGTAAAAATCATTGCCACTTAAGTATAAAATAAATATGTTCCAAATAGTTTAACGAGGGGGAAAAAACAGCATGACGTCACAAGCAGTTCAATGGAGAACACAAACAACTCCTATGTAGGATACAACAGTAAACTGAATTTACAGATCAGTGCCTAAGTAGCTCTCCCCACCCCCCCCCTCCGCGCGCGCGCACACACACACACACACCTGGAAATAGAAATAGAAAACCCACGTATAACCCGTCCATCCAGAAATGCACTCCCCTAGATTGCTTTCACTTAAACTGAATCCGGAGCTGGAGCCTTTAAAGGAGTTTTAGTAAGCAACACGAGTGCAGCAACTTTTGGGGACCCACTTCTCCTCCGATGCGGCCTTTGGCGCCCACCTGCCCAGCGCATCCCGGGCCTCGGGTTCCCCACCCTCACCCCCCGGCTCTGGAGCCGGCCGGGAGCGGACAAGCCCCATCCGCGGGGCAGAGACTCCTGGAGAAACTTTCCCCGGAGAGATCGCCGGGTAGCGGGGACGCCGCGCCGCCACCCGACAGGTGTCCGGGGTGGGGGGGCAGGTAGGGCAACCGGAGCGGCGCCGCCCCTTTGCCTTCCCCGCCCACGGCCAGCTGGGCGGCCGAGGGCGGCTTCGGGGAATCCGGGCGGGGAGACCTTTAGACCTTTGCTCGGTCTCCGAGCCACCGGGGCCGGGCGGAGCGGAGGGCCTGACTGCGGGGTGGGGTGTCGGAGTCCCCGCACGCGCCGGGCCCGGGGGTTCGGGTCGCCCGGTGGCGCGCCCCTCCCTCCGAGCTGGGCTTGGCCGCCAGGGGCCGCACCCGGGCGCGCGGTTTCGGTTGGCCCTACCTCCGAGCTGGTTTCGATTAGGGACCGCGGTGTCCCGGCGGGAGGGCGGAGCGGCCGGGGCGCGAGGAGGGGACTAAGGGCGAGCGGTGGAGCGGGGACGGCCCCGGGCCGGAGACACCGATCAGCCCGCCCGGAGACTGCAGAGCGCAGCCCCGCCAGCCCGCCTCGCGGCCAGGCGCTGCCCTCGGGGGAGCTTGGAGACGGCGGCAGGTGCGCGGTGCCAGGATGCGGACGCCGGTGGTCATGACGCTGGGCATGGTGCTGTCGCCCTGCGGACTGCTGCTCAACCTGATCAGCACGCTGGCCCCGGGCTGGCGGCTGGTGAAGGGGTTCCTGGACCAGCCCGTGGACGTGGTGCTGTTCCAGGGCCTGTGGGACATGTGCCGCGAGCAGAGCAGCCGCGAGCGCCAGTGCGGCCAGCCCGACGAGTGGGGCTACTTCGAGGCGCAGCCGGTGCTCGTGGCGCGGGCGCTGATGGTCACCTCGCTGGCCGTCACCGCGCTGGGGCTGCTGCTGGCGTCGCTGGGCGTGCGCTGCTGGCAGGACGAGCCCCACTTCGCGCTGGCCGGCCTGTCGGGCCTGGTGCTTTTCATCGCGGGCCTCTTCGGCCTCATCCCGGTCTCGTGGTACACGCACTTCTTGGGGGATCGCACGGTGCTGCCCGCCCCCGCCAGCCCGGTCACCGTGCAGGTGAGTTACAGCCTGGTGCTGGGCTACCTGGGCAGCTGCCTGCTGCTGCTGGGCGGCTTCTCGCTGGCGCTCAGCTGGGCGCCCTGGTGCGAGGAGCGCTGCCGCCGCAAGGCGCCCCCCGCCGGCCCGCGCCGCAGCAGCATCAGCACCGTCTACGTGGACTGGCCCGAGCCCGCGCTCCCACCCGCCATCAAGTACTACAGCGGGGGCCAGCACCGCCCGCCGCCCGCCGCCGAGCCCGCCGCCCCCGGGAAACTCAAGGTGGGCTTTCCCATGCCGCGCCCCGCGCCCAGGTCCTACACCAACCCCGTGGACGTGCTGGACGGGGAGCGGGAGCCCCAGGCGGCCGCCTCGCAGGGCGCCTCCTCCCGCAGCACGCGGCCCTGCCACAGCTCGCTCCCCTGCGACTCAGACCTGTAGACGTTGCCCGGGCCTCCCCACGGCTCCGGGCTCCATCCCGGGGCCAAGGGTGAAGAAGGACTGGTTTCCACTCGGCCCAGCCTTCAACTGTGTGCGGTGTCTGCGGCTCTCCCGGCTTGGAGATGGATGGAGCTCTGCGTCTGGAGGGCGATCTCCCTTGCCCCGTAGCCCCGTGAGACTCTTGGGACGTTTATTTCAAGTTTCTTTCAGCTTTGGTTTATACAGTTTTCTTTTCCTGTCCAGAGGGATCAGGTCTTCTTGTGGGATGACAAGCTTCTCACAGGTACAAGTTGAAGGAGATCTGGAACCGGTGGCGTTTTAAATCAGGTGGACCAGGTTCAATGTCAACAAGACTCAAAACAACAACAAAGGGAAACAAAAAATTCAACGGGTTGCTGGTGTCTCAGGACTGTAATCTTAGCTCCTCAAGAGGCTGTGAGTTCTGAGGATCATGGTTCTAAGCCAACCCTGGCAGGAAGTCCGTGAAATCCACCACCCAAAAGACTAGAATGGAGTTGTGGAGCAAGTGATAGGGTGTTAGCCTTGAGTTAAAAAAAAGCTGAAGAGAGCTCCCTGGACACGTTCAAGTTCCAGGACTGGCATATATGCACACACAACACTTAGAAACTACAGTATTCTAAAATACTAATGGATTTTACAGTTATTGTTGTTTTTTTCCCCTACTTTATAACTCATAAAAGTGTTATAACTTTAAAACTCTCCAGGGGCAATCTGTAACTGCCTGGGTTTGAGGCTCTTAAACTTAGGGCCATTCCAAGCTTAACAGAGGTAGTGACTTCTATAAAATGAAATAACTTGGTTGACTCCGATTTACGTGTCTTTCTGCATACATAATAGTATGAGGTAGGACAAACCCTAAAAGATTTAACTTGTGTGTGTTTTTTTAAATCACTTATTTTGGTGAGAAATTGAGGTGGTTCCAGTTTCTTTTCAAGAAGCTAAAAGAATGAAGACATTAACACTATATTATTGTTCCATTCCATAGATACCTCACAGCAAACAGTAGATTGAATATTTTCTACAAAATAGAACCTGTTAGTCACATTTGGTTAGCGTTCATATATATATATATATATATATGTTATTTATAAATAAAAGTCCTAAAACATCATTTTCAGTATGCTCATAAAAGCGTATTTGTCTCCAGTACTACCTTGGGGAGTTTCAGCATTCATTACCAGCAGTTTCCTGGCTGCCTGGGCACCGTGCTGAAATCTAGAACTCACATCTTTGCACTTCTTCACATAAGATTACTAAAAGGAGCCAAGGGGCCCCACCACAATCCCTGGTTGCTTTGTTTTCTGTGCCAGCCAAGTCTATTGTCAAAAAAGAAAAACTAGGAGCACCAGTTTTCACTTGAGGGGAGAGCAGAAATCTTTTCCACTTCTTGCCCTGGGGCTCAAAGTCACAGGTAGGCAGCTCTATGTTCCATGAGAGACAAGTCTTCATAGGGCTGGTTTTCATTTGAAGCTATTGACTTCAAGGTGCTTTAACTGAGCTGAATCCCACCTCCCAAACCTATCCTTCAGAAGTACAAATGGTCAGTCCAATAGGTCCCAGTAATAGAAAGCTGTGATAGAACTCATTAAACAGCACAAGCTGCTTGTACAATGGATGGTGTAACACCTATTCATGTCCCCTGCTATGTTGTAGTGCTATTTGCTTTGTGAGACACAACTCTAATATGCAGGCAGATTACTTTGTGACTGTGTGTGTGTGTGAGAGAGAGAGAGAGAGAGAGAGAGAGAGAGAGTTGGTACAAGGGCTTAGCTCAGGGCTTGGGCCCTGTCCCCTAGCACTTTCTCTCATGGCTAGAGCTCTACTACTTGAGACAGAACTCCATTTCTGGCTTTTTGCTGCTTAACTGGAGAGTCTCATGGACTTTCTTGCCCTGATGGCTTTGAACCAAGATCCTTAGATCTCAGCACTTTGTATCTGTTTTGCAAATGTGGATTCTGCCTCCCTGGGTCTGGAGCCCTAAAATTGATTTCCTATGTGGCTGCGAGCAGGGGCCAGTGCTGATGGTCATGGACCCCACTTAAGGTTGACCGGCATTAAGTGTGCTCTGAATGCATTTATAGTCCCATCTGGTGATGACTGTGAATGTTGCCTTTGAGCCCTCTGTCACCCAGATGTTTTTGAGGGTTTGCTATGTGGAAAAGAGATTGAAGGCAGAAGGGGCATCTGGGATATTTCAGCTAGTATTTTGAAAGACAGCAATTAGGGGCTTGAGAAATCAGAACACAGCAGGCAATATAAGACCCTGAGCTTCTAGCTAGTTCTGTCTCTTCCTCAAATCACATTACCAAGTGTTTCTAGAGAAGTCTCTGGTAAACACAAAGCCAGCATTTTGTGTGTGTCTTACCCACCCCTACCCACAACTATTCCCCATTGGCTTAGGTGTGAAACACCTTTACTCTGAGGATTAAGACTTTCTTACTGAGTTTTAAAACTGAGTATTTTTTGCCCTATCTAAAGAAATGTTCCTTTTAAAAAATACTTCTTTTTGCTATAAAGGACAGCATAAAGGAGGTGGAAGCCTGGGTGGGTGTAAGGGTCATTCTCTGCTGAACATACTGAGAGTGGGCTTGAGACAAGAGGCTGGAGGAGGCAGAGTCTCAGGGTGGGGCCTCCTGTGTGGGTGGGAATCTGTCCTAAAGGGATACTGGCCAGCCAGGCTTGCGCACAGCAGGGAGCCCACCTACGTGAGTAGTTCTGCCACCTCGCCTCAGGCTCTTCCATCCGGGATGCTCTATTACACCCACTTCCACTCTCCCCATCAGCACTGGAACTATGTGTCCCCATTTAATCTGTCAACTCTTTCTACCATTACTCAAGTTTGCCTAGAGATCCAAAGGGCCTGGGGAAGTCTGGCAGGAAGCTCTCTCCCCAGCTGCTCTGCCTGTTCCCCAAGCTGGCTCTCCTAGGCTGCCGGCCTCATTAAGGATGGGTGTGGTGTATCCACCCTGGAAGCTGTGGGAGGGGCTGCCAGGTGCTCCCAAAGTCACCCCCCTCTCCCATTGCATAGGTCTCCACTGTTCACAGCAGATGACATTTTGCAAACAGGCTCACCCCTGTAACCCCAGCTACTCAGGGGGCTGAGATCTGAGGATCATGGCTTAAAGCCAGCCTGGGCAGGGAGGTCCATGAGAATCTCTTCTCCAGTTAACCACCAAAAAGTTGGAAGTAGAGCTGTGGCTCAAGTGGTAGAGCAATAGCGTTGAGCATAAGAGCTCAAGGACAGTGCCCAGGCCCTGAGTTCAAGCCCCAGGATCAGCACGCACACACGGATGGTTTATTTTATATAGTACCTGTAGTCATCGGTCCAGGACTTCTCACTGGATTTCCTGGCCTACACAAACTCATTTGGAAAGACATTGAATACAAAAGAAAAGATCCAAGCAAGAAAAGCTTCCAAGCAAAGTTGATTTATTACTATTTAAACTTATGCTATTAGATTCAGGTGCTGTGTGGAGCCGTGCACATGTATTTTCTTTCCACATCCAACGGGCCCTATGATATAAACTTTTATAATCTTATTTCTGGCACTGAGGATAAAGGTTCAATACCAAGGGATTTGCCTAGGTTGCTATAACCAAGTTTAAGATCAGACTCTTTTTTGTGACCTTATCTACTATCATAAATTTAATGCTCTTTATTCTTTACTTGGGTGTAAGCACAGTAGAAACCTAGGAAGATAAGCAGAGGCATTAGCAGGCCAAGCAATGGGTGGTCTCCAGCAGGGAGAGCTACCTGAGATAAATCCTGGCATACGTCTACTCCATGCTGCTAACTGTAGCATCACTAACTTCATTATAAATAAGACTTACACAAACCATGTTTCCATAACTATAAAGTATATCTGCTTGCTGTTTTAAATTCAGGATTGAATAACATCATAAGAGAAAGACTTTTCATAAATTCTAAGTGCCAATGTGTACAAACTTAGTAAAGTATATAGGAGAGAGGAAGAAATAGGGAAATAACACGTGAATACTTGGTACTTTGCAGAAACGTATCCTAAAGACAAAGTGACCACTACATCTGGTAAAATTAGGAAAATAGATTCTGCAGTTTAACTAGCTCAAAGTTAGCTCCAGAGTCGCCATTCAAATCTTCTAGAGCTTCTAATTAGTATTGGAGTAGATACCTTACGTTAGAAAACCCTATGACTGACTTCCAACCTACACTACGTGGAGACAGTTCTGATCATACCTATAAATATTCAGTTTTCTGAAACTCATTAACAAACCCAGACAAATTTGTCCAATTTAAAAATTAAACAAGTAATTACCATGTATCACAAACTGTTACGGAAGTTAAAACAGCACACGATAAAATGCATAAGCAGGTTTTATTTTTATTTAATTGGAGGCGGGTTCAATTCTTTTTTGCATAAAATCAGTCAGTTTGCAAAGGAGTTAGCAAGTCCTGTGGAAAGGAGAGTTGAAGTTAGAGAATATACATTATTTTAAAACAAAAGTATAGAGATAGTTTACATCTCTATATGTGATGTAGAAAAGTATAGAGATGCTTCACATCTATGATTCTAGCTGAGAATTGAGGTTTGAAGCTAGCTTGGGCAAACAAATCTGAGAGACCCTCATATTTAATTTGACCAGTAAAAAAACTGGAAGTAGAGCTGAGGCTCAAGTGATAGAGCACTAACTGTGAGTAGAAAAAGCTTGAGGCCTGAGTGCAAGCCCCAGTACTCATGCACACATGCGTGCGCACGCACACACACACACACACACACACACACACACACACACTCTCTCTCTCTCTCTCTCACACACACACACAAAGTTGTATAGATGACAATAGGACTAATATCTTAGGGTAAAAGAGCCTACCCTACTCTACCATAGGATGGAGACCTTAGAAATGGACAAAAAGCCAAGATTCTTGCTTATAGTATATAAATCTGTTCCATGGATGTTTCAGCTATTCAACCATTATTCAAACCAGACCCTGAAGAAAGAATTGCCTCACAGTAGGTTAATACACGTAATAGAAACAGTCAAGGTTAAAATGAAAACATTAACTACTTTCTGAAAGCTGGACAGTTTTAGAAGAGTTACTGTTTAACTGCATCCAAGAATTCATTTTCCTCAAAGAGACTTACCCAACTTCCTCAACATACCTGTTCATCATAGGCTTCATTCACGAAAATCTCACTATTCATTAAATTTTCTTCTTCTTGCTTATTTTCCTCATCACGGTCCAAATTTCTTGCTGATGTCCTAAAATCAAAGAAAGTCAGAAGTAGCTATTTGAGGCAGAAGCTGAGATTGGGGTATCATTACAAAAGGTCAACTTACCTCTTATCAAAGGTTAATGTTATAGAAACTGTACCCTACTTTAATGATCTCCCATTAGAGCAAATAAT